TAACTTCTCTCTACAACACACACACACACATTATATATATATATATATATATATATATATTAAAATTATATATATATATATATTTAATATATATATATATATATATGTTTCTGGGGAGGTGCTTGTAGCTTTGTCGTGTATCAATATACGTCGACTTTCATTGGTGTATATACTTCACTGTATAAATCTCACTTGCTCTGTGGCGGTGCATGTGATTAGAGTGAATCCGTAAAACATTTGTTGACGATACTGCGAGTATGTTGGCGGCGTCTTGGACAATACTATTCAAATCTGTCCAATCAGACACATAGCGTGTTTTAATACGGCAATAATACCATTCAAATCTGTCAAATCAGACACATAGCGTGTTTTAATACGGCAATAATACCATTCAAATCTGTCAAATCAGACACATAGCGTGTTTTAATACGGCAATAGTACCATTCAAATCTGTCAAATCAGACACATAGCATGTTATAATACGCCACTAATACCATTCAAATCTGTCAAATCAGACACATAGCATGTTTTAATACGCCACTAATACCATTCAAATCTGTCAAATCAGACACATAGCATGTTATAATACGGCACTAATACCATTCAAATCTGTCAAATCAGACACATAGCATGTTTTAAATACGGCACTAATACCCAAATCTGTCAAATCAGACACATAGCATGTTTTAATACGATACTACAGCTGCTTGTGTCTTAGTACGACACCTGTCACATTCGCAGACACTGATCACGGTATCTCGCACAGCAACTGTGGTATCGATATAGGATCGTGTCCTTCCTGGTTGTCAGTCATGTTCTTAATGCCACAATACACTGGCACAGTATGTCGAGATCGACTCGCCTGCTACTGCTTACGATATTCGTTCCGGTTTTTGTTTGTGCGATCTGATTGTTCTATATCATAGAAGAGGTAATTCACAACTAATTTAATATCATAGTGGTAATTCACAACTAATTTTATATCATAGAAGTGGCAGTTAGCAACCACTTTTATATCAAAGCAGTGGTGATTTACAACTAATTTTATATCATAGTGGTAATTCAAAACTAGTTCTAAGTCATAGAAGTGGTAATTCACAACTAATTTTATATCATAGCAGTGGTGATTTACAACTAATTTTATATCATAGTGGTAATTCAAAACTAGTTCTAAGTCATAGTAGTAGTAATTCACAACTAATTTTACATCATAGCAGTGGTAATGCACAACTAATTTTATATCATAGTGGTAATTCAAAACTAGTTCTAAGTCGTAGAAGTGGTAATTCACAACTAATTTTGTATCATAGTAGTAATTTTAAAACTAGTTTTAAAGTATAGAATTGGTAATTCATCACTAATTTTATATCATAGCAGTGGTAATTCACGACTAATTTTATACCATTGAAGTGTAAATTTTCAACTATTTGTATCATAGAAGTGGTGATGCACAACTATTTTAAAATCAGAAAAGTGGTGTTTCACAAATATTATTGTAACTAGCTTTTTGATTATGTCCAATGTTCCTCCGCTTCCAATGTTATACAGCAACAAATACAAATAAAACCGGAAGGGCTGGAGGCAAAGTTGTGGTATGTATTCTGCTACATGCTACAATATATGTACTGAAGTGAAATTGGTACGTGTTACTAGTATTACCATACATGGTATATTAGTACGTGATGATGTTGATTTTTACGCCGGATCTGACGATAACACGAGACACGTTGCCTCTATTTGAATCATCTATATAGAGATCCCTCTCTCTCATACTCAAAGGCTAAAGTCTATGTTCATGGGCAACCTTCCAGTCCTATGCTGATTTGTGTATTCCCCAATAAAACATATACTCACGTACGACGCCATATATACAGACGCTCGTACTGTACAACCTCCGATGTGTGCGCGTTAGTTTGAATTGCATGTGCCCCTGACTCGCGTCAATTTCTGATATGTCCAGTTTGGTAGGCTCAGATGTTAGCGGCCTATTCAACCACTTGTGTACTTTCAGACATGCATAGCCAGTGGGAAGTGTAAGATTCGGTCTGTCAAGGCGATATTAACGCCTTAGAATAAATAAACGCGTAGGTAAATTCTGAGTATCGTGAAAATATCAAAGTAAATAAACGAAATAAGACATTTAGTAAAGTTAGGTATGCCTCGTGAAAACAGCAATACTCTGAGGGATTGTGAGGCTGAGACATTGCCTATATATAATCCTCTCAGTACTGTTTCCGCCGAATGGATTTTATTTAGTGTTTCGTTATCGCTCTATTAGAAACTATGGTATGTTTCACTGGGGCGAATCCGAGAGACTCATAAAATCTTATCTTTAGAAGAAAAGAAAAATATATTCTTGATGTCCTTAGTTATTGTCTTAACCAATAACTTGCCACTATCAATAATTACCGACTTAGCCTTCATCAGACTGGCACATCTGGTTGGCTGATCGGAGTATCAACTAGGTAACGTTAATAGTCCCTTGAAACCATTATTCGGTTGAGCCACCTCGCTACCGAAGTATTCAGATATAAGTAAAGTTGGAAAGTAAATAAATTCTAATATTAGAACTAGACCAACTCTTTATGTTTGGTATTTTACTGAGGCCTTTTAATGGCCTCGTCCAAATATCTGATATGTAAAATGGAAAAGGTATAAATTAATAAACCCATTAAAAACCATTTTAGGAAACTTAAGTTCCTCGTGCTATTAAGAGTACATTTATGGAACATAAGTTCCTCGTACTATTAAGAGTACAGTTAGGAAACTTAAGTTCCTCGTACTATTAAGAGTACATTTAGGAAACTTAAGTTCCTCGTACTATTAAGAGTACATTTATAATTTACGTACTGCTTAAGAGTACGTTTATAAATGTGGAGGCCCGGCTTATTACATAGCCCCCACCCAGCTTTAAGACCCATGAGAAGCAACTTGCTCACTCAAGCTGATTATGGGTCAAAAAGCGAGAAAGGAAAAACGGGTCGAAAACATTAAGTAGCATAACATATAGTTAATGTTTCTCAGGCGGAGAAGTTAAGCGTTCTCGGTTACCCTGTGAGTTTTGGGCTTAGGTCCAGTAGGTCCGTGGTGGTCGACTGGACGTTTCTTACGCTTCAGTGTCTTAAGCACATATGAAGGATGAGCATTAAGGCTCGGGATAAATGCTGTAGGTGGATAAGTTTTAACTTCCGTTCCTTCAGACGATGGAAACGTGCTATCTTTTTCAGCTTGTGACTTATGCAGGCGTTTACGTCATTTTCGATTAAAGGCTTTAAAATAGTCTTGATTACCGAAAGCATCTGAAGTCAACTCAGCTATTGTACCGTCTATAAAGCGTGTACGATAGTATATATAGCCTCCCTTATCCGTTCTCCATATTTTGTCTTTAAA